TGATCCTATTTACAAACACCATTAGAACAAATCATTCTATTCATTAAGAGAATGCAACTATATATCTATCCCAACCACTTTGAATACACAGATACAAAAAATGGACATTCATAGTTATACCCCATTTTTTTTTAAGTTCCGTTATTGAATATTATAGGTGTGCAAACTCAGCAAAATATTCTAAAAGAGTCCAGTAGCCCATAATAGCATTGGGTCTTGCAGAACACATTTTATGGCCTAACTTTACCACCACCCTTTTTTTGACCTGATGACAAGGTACAATTATCCTACAGATAAGGACAGTGACCCTAGGAAGATCTAATGACCTGTCCTCAGCTGTGCCAGCTGATTCATCCACATCTCTAGGGCCTGAGATATATAACAGGTCTGAATAATATTTTGAATATCCTTAGTGATGAAAAGCATACAGGTTTACACACTGAAGAATCAGCAAAATGATGGGAAAACCACAGAACACATTTCTAACTCCTGTCACACTGAGGGAAAGTTCAGAGTTTCCCCACCCCCTGGCTCTACTTGCATCCGGGGTAGTCATCATCTCCTGCCCAAACTATCTCAGCTATTTCCTCTACCCACTCTTTCCAGTTTCCAAAACCTGGTTCACACATGGAATATAGCTTGCCTCAACGGGGCTTTCTCCTGCCGTTTCACGCACCGAAACGTCAGAGATCAGAAGAGACAGAGATCCGAAACACTGCCCTATCTGAACTGCTCACCCAAAAGGCCCCGCAACCGTGTTTCAATTCCTTAGCCTCCATCTTATATATAACTGAGGAGTGTTTCCCCAGATATACCCAGGGCTTTTAAACTTATTTGCCTTATTTTTTAGGTACTGGGGAATGAACCCAGGGTGCCCTTTCGTACTTTTTTTTTTTTTTATTTATTTATTTATTTATTTTTTGGCGGAACCGGGGATTGAACTCAGACCTTACGCTTAGCGCTTATTCTGCTGAGCCATCTCCCCAGCCCGGCTCTTTCGCACTTTAAGACAGGGTTTCACTAAATCGTCTAAGTGGTCCAGGTTGGTCTCAAAACTCTCCATCCTCCTGCCTCGTTCTCCCCCACTGCTGGGATTACAGGCGTGCGCCATCATGCCTGGTTTTATTTGCTTTCTTCGTGTAAATCACCAATACCCCTGTTCCAAATATCACAGGTGTAAAAGTTAGACTCCAGCCACAGCTCATCTCAAACGCCGAATCTTCTAACCAACTTTCTGCAGACCCTGGGCTTATATAACCTCTACCCCCAATCTGGTATGCCTCTCCCTCTGTCTCCTCAGCTCCTCCCCACCCCCAGCCCGAGCATAACATCGTGGAGGAAAGGGACGTGGTTGTAGTAGGGCCGGTCCGCTCCTACGTCAGAGCTTTGCAGGGTTAAATTCCACCCACGCCCAGGGGCGCGTTTCACACAGACCTGCGGCCGCGCACGCGGACGCCGGCTTCCTCCGGACGCACACGTGTCCCCAGGGCCACAGCCCCGGGCCTGTCTCGGGATTCCCTGCCTGTGGGAGTTTCCATTCCACCCAGCGGAAGGTGGAGCTGATTTATTTAAATCCTCTCCAAGGGAAATTTGTTACCTTATTCCTCTCGCAGCTTTCACCTGAGAAAATCCTCTAGGAGCCACTTTCATTCTGAAGTGATCTCGCTGACGGCTGAACGCTCCGGCCCGGTAGCGCCCGGTCGGCCCCAAGGATTCCCCCTCGCCTGCGCTCGCACTTGGTAGCGCCCGCCTCGTCAACCGCGGCGCTCGTCGGTCTCGCCCCAGCTCGCGCCAGCCGGCGGCGGACAGAGCCGCGTTGCAGCGTAAGCTTCGGCGTCTGGCTGAGGAAGCTCCGGACGGCGTCCGCGCGCCTGGGCCTCCCGAGCCTCCGCTCCTCCTCCGACGCGCGAAGCGGCCGCGGCGGTGCTGCCCGGCATGTATCAGAGCCCGCGGCGGCTCTGCTCCGCCCTGCTGACAAGGGACGCGCCCGGCCTGCGCCGCCCGTCCGCCCCCGGCCTGCGCCGACGCTCGCCCCCGCCGACAGCCGCCCCCCGGCCCGCGGCGCCCCGACTCCTGGCGGCGGCCCCCGCTGCCTTGAGCGCCGCGTGGACTCAGTCGCGGACAGGTGAGTTAGGCGGCCCGCGACCAACGCGCCGCTGGCTCTTGGAGACCGAATGAATGGGAAGCCCAGGCGGCCGCGTCTCCCTCTTCTTCCCTTCCCGCCCGCCGGTTTTACCGGGCTCCCGCTCTGTCCCTGTGTGCTGACCTCTGTTTCTGTCTCGCTCTACGTTGTCCCCCTTCGGAGGCCACAAAATCTCGTCGACACTTAATTTAACTTTGTGCGATGCTGGCATCGGCCCCAGGGCAGCATAGTGGGCATTTTTGTAGAAAAAAATAAGTTACTTGATGGTGTGGGTTGCGTAGCCTAGAAGTTGATTTTTTGAAGTCATGTTAATACCATATGTTAACTAGTTTTACTTCATTTGGATTTTTGAGAGCCCTCCGATGTTAATGTAATTACGTTTTTGTTTGTATACGTGGGTTAAGATACAAAAACTGATGTCTCCATTCGCCTCGAGCCAGTTTCATATACGGCCTTATGCTCCGGGTTTCCCATTTTTTGCCACCTCGATTTCTGCCTAGGGACGCTTTACTGTGGCCACAAATTACGTAATGATACTTTTATTTTTTTAATTTTTTTTGTAATTATACTTTTAAATTTGTGAAATATTTTCTCCTTCAAAACTTGCAATCTGTTATACTGTTTTTATAACGTGCTTTTAGCTCTTTGTTAGATTAATGGTAAGACATTCGTATAAATAACTACTTTTATGTAAGAGTTTTGTATTTAAGGACAAGTTGAGCACTACAAAGTATTGAGCATTCTGCCACTGAGGTGCATCTCGTCTGTGTGGCGCTTTTTTTTTTTTTTTTTTTGAGACGGGATTCTCTATGCAGTTTGGGCTGGACTTGATCCTCCTTTTATAGCCTAGGCTGGACTTAAACCCACAATGATCTTCCTGCCTCAGCCTCCCCAGGGCTGGGATTACAGGAGAGTGCCACCGCACCAAAGCTTTGTGGCTTTATCTTGATTATCTGAATGTTGAGCCGTGATTTTAATGGATGATTAGGCAAGGCATGTGTGCCTGTAGTTTTGTTTGAGACGCAGGGTCTCACAGTGTAACCCAGGCTTCCCTCAAGTTTTTGAATCCCTGCTTCAACCTCTTCAAGCTGAGATTGCAGGCCTGAGCCAGCACTCTGGCCTTTTTTTTTTGTTTCTTTTGAGACTGACAATGTAGTCCAGACTATCGTTGAACTTGGCTGTGTGACCTGTGCTGACCTCTTTGCTGCGTTCCTCTTGTCTCAGTCTCCTGAGTACTGGGATTACACATGTGGGCCACCATACCCAGGTGGGCTGGATTGCTTGATTGATGTTTTTGAAACAGTCTCTGCCATGTAGTTCAGGCTGGCCTTGAGCCCATTTTGTAGCCCAGGCTGCTCAAACTGACAGGATCCTTCTGCTTCAGCCTCCAGTGCTGGGATTACAGGCCTTCCCAACCACGTCCAGCACTTATTTTTATTTTACACTTGATCTTAGCCAAAAGGCCGGGAAGTGATTACTTTTATTTTGAGACATGGTTTCACACAATTGCCTAGGTGGGGCTGGAATTTGGAATCTTCTTGCCTCAGCCTCCCAGACTGCTGGTATTACAGGATCTGGTCTAGGCTAGGATTTTTTTTTTTTTTTTTTTTTAATGTATATAGTATAGGATCTACAGGGTCTCACTACACAGATCCGACTCGCAGTGATCCTCCTGTTTTCAGCCTCCCAAGCACTGGGATTATAGGCCTGTACCATCACACCCAGTCTCAATTGCTGTTGAGCTATCTGGCCAATTTTTCTTGTTGGAAATTCATTTTTTTCTTTTTCTTTTTTTTTTTTTTAATGTGGAACCAGGGATTTGAACTCAGACCCTTGTGCTTGCCAGGGAAGCACTTATTCTACTGAGCCATCTCCCTGGCCCTCTTGTTGGAAATTCAAAAGGAACATAGAAAAATTGAAAGAAAACTAGTGACTGTTTCCTGTACCAGCTCATATCTTAAATTCTCCCAACAGTCCCCAGACAGGGTGCTCCCCAGGAACATCTTGGAAACGCAGTTTGTGTAGTATCTATGAACTTAGGAGTAGTTATCTGATCAGATAGAGCATTTGGAATGTTAGGCTTCTGGCTCAGAAGTGTTCTGTGAGTCTGAAACCCCTTGATACACAGGAAATTGAAGGACTTGATGGTACCTAAACCCTCCAGACCTTGAGGTGTAGTTGAGGAATGGTGAGGGAAGAACCACTTTGCAAACTGCAAATGGAGCAGCTTTTCCCAGTTTCAGAAGCAATTTTTACAAATGTAGATTCTACCTGGAAGTGGATTTTTTTTTTTTTTTTTTT